CGTGGGTGTGGTTATATGGAAGAAGAAGACACTCACACCCTCAAGATATTCTTTAAACTTGATTAGTTTTTTCTTTATTTTAATAGATATAACGTGTAACGAACACTATTCTAAGATAAGGAAAAAGTATAATAATAACTTTTTAACATCGTTCTCTGTAGTCTTCAACTTAGCCAGTGTTGAATGGCTTTCATATTGTGCTTTCTGCAACTGTCGATATAGTTGCCGACTTTGACCTTCTTGATTGATGTTTGTTGTTGATGAATAGCTTGAATTTCGATAAATGTGAGACATCGTTTAAAAGCCTTGAGATTGGCTATACGAGCTTGAGTAGATGTTTCTGATAAGTTATTGTCAGGTTTCCTTGATAGCAAAATTTTAAATATAGAAAAGTCGTTTTGCAGGTCATCAAGAAGGCAGATATCATATTGCTCGATTTTTGAAATACATTGTCCATCGATCCATATTTGATAATTCGATTGTGGAGTGGTTCTAGTCAAAACAATATGAACCCATCTGTTAGCAATCGATACACATTTTCCATTGTCAATATAATATTGTTCATCACTACAAATCGAGATATTCCTACCTACGATGTTCCAATAACCAGCTCGCACACTTAAAACATATCGTGGTGGTAAGAAAATCCAAAAGGAGAAAGAATGAGGTAAGTCGTGGAACGGTAAAGAATAATGATGATCAAAGAGAGACTTATCATCAGATAAATCTTCTGATCGAATCCATGGTAAAAATAGGCATTTACTTGATCGAAGTTTGACTGGCAATAATGACTGATCAGTATTTAATTTCGATAGGTAGTCATTTTGGTGGGAATAAGAATACTTGACACCCGAAAAGGATTCTACGGAATTTTTTAATAATAGAGAAAACCATTGATTAAAAAAATATCTGTTATTCATAAAAAAAGATCGCCACCGACGACAAACATGTGACATTCGAAGAATGTCTATCGGTTGATCTATATATTGACAGATATGATACAGTAACTCACATGGCAATATATCCATCTTGTTTTATGATATATATATATATATATATATATATATTGTTTGTAACAATATGCTGTGCATTTATATATGTCTAATCATAACCTTTCTTTGTTAATGCTAAACATACATTTGACGTGTTTTTCTTTTCTAGTCAGTTATTCAACAGTGAATTTTGACGTAATATTGTCTATGAAATAGGATAGAATCAGCACATGTCAGTGAATACTGACTTCTTTCTTCGACATTCTCACTTTTTCTTGTTGATTTTTATCAAAGAATCCAATGAACAAGACGGTGATTAACAAAATTAGTAGTATAAATATTCTTGTTTCCATCTATAGGTTTATTTTGAATATAAGGTGAAAAAACGATAAGAAACAAAATACAATACCAATAACGACACACTAGAATTTACAACATTTACACATAAAACTATATGAGTACATTGAAAAAAATGACAAAATATTATTTAGTTTTGTTCTTCTACTCTTGGTTTCATTTCCTAACTGACAGGTACTATTCGACGATGTAGAATTTTCTTCATTTTCAATCCCAATTGTGGTATTGAACACAAGCACACAAAAGGAAATAGTAACCAAATAAAATATGTGAGAAAACCAACCCATTGCAGTAACGTGATTATGGAAGATGTCGGAGCTATTAAAACCCATAAATAGGCAATTGCAAATGGTAGATTAAATAAAAGATAGAGACATGAAATAGAAACAAGTTGAAAGATCATTAATCGATATTTTCGCCAATTTATTGATCGTTGAAGACGAGTTTTTGATCGATAAACTCGAAACAAAAGGGCACCATTACATATCAATACACATATCGTTGGAGATAAGATATGCATACTTGTTTGCCACATACCCAATAATGGATCCCTTGACTGACAACCATAATAACATATGTTACTGACAAAATCTACTTGTTGTTCACATGGAAAGAAAAAGCTAGAATAAATATAAAATATGAAAAGATAAATGGTGATAAGAATTGGTGGCATATAATGAAAACAAAACTTTTTCCATTTTATATTTAATAGATTAAAATGAAAAATGAGAAGATGTCGTTCAAATGATGCCCATGCAATTAAAAGATTCATCATATTAGAAGACAAAGTCTCAATAAATGATCTAGTTTTACACGATGCAAGAGTCCAATGGATAGTTGGTTTTAATCTGTGTGAATCTATTACTGTTGGAATCATAAAAGCGGTTATGATAAAGGAATGACATAATGTAAATAAAATAACATAATTATGTGGTGCCGAACGAAGAGCTTTATTGAAAAAAATAAGAATAAACACGATAAGATGCATGAGAATAGATGGAATATCAAAGGTTAGTAATAATATGAATGATACATCCTTGGAAATAAATTCAAATGGACTCCCTGTTTCATTTTGTTTAGTAACATTTGTATTGTCAGACACATTCATTTTGTAAGTCTCGCTTCTAAATTAGAAAAATGATATACAGATGAATGACGGAGTGAAAATAATTTTAAATAAATAATAGTTAGATAAAAGTTTTGAAAATTGTAACGGAAATTAATTCAGAATGACGTCTGATAAAGATACACTTTGTATTTCTACAATACGTATCACTTTAACCCGCCACAATTATAAGGAGAGCCACAAAAGAGAAAAATTAAGAGGAGCATAATAAGAAAAAATGAAAAGGAGAGAATGGAGACAGCGTAGGTGAGAGAAAATATAGAAAATATCAATTAGGAATTAGTCGATGCATTAATTCATAACATATGAATTAATTTTGTGATGAAGATGACAATGAAAAATAGCATTTTTATAAATGGATGAAGAAGATTCTGACAACAGAAAAATCTAAAAAGTCATGAAAGGAAATTCTTTGATCCCAATCATATTTGTTAAACAGGTGAAAAAAATAATTTGAGTGCGTAAAATATTGAAAGTAAAAATAAATAATGTCCTTTTAGAAATAATGCAATTTTAGACGTAAAACAAGCCAACAAGGATGGGTGTAGGTGTTCACTTCGCTATCATCCGTTAAGTATCCAGTATTCATTCTTCATGATAGTACTTTTTTGATGATATAATTGATAATTATGAGAAGATTACTTTTGAAAAGCTTATGAACACCTATGGCTTTTTAATAGAACTCACCTAGCGTATGATCTTAAATTCATTTTTCATTTTAATTGTTTCTAAATTTATTACTTCTAGTTTATGAATGTTCTCAAAAAAGATTATATATTATAATTATTGCCTAGTTTTTTTAATTTACGTATTACAAAAAGAAGATACGGGTAAGAAGGATTTTCTTTAATGAATTAATTTCATATCTATGGGCTATATAATATATTATATATTTACGAGCTTAAACGTTGTTTATTCTCATTTGTTATATTAGAAAACTTTTGATATGAGTACTCTTACCGAACGAGTAGATCAAACTAGTATTTATGTTCAACCAATTCTTTTTATTCTTGTTATGATTACAAATATTTTAAATATATGTATATTACGTGATCGTACACTTCGATCATCGTCTTGTAATTATTATTTTATTAGTTTTTCAGTTTCAAGTATTCTTTATACTTGTATTCTATGCCCAACACAAAGTTTACGACGATATAATATTTTATGGATAAATACAACGGTCGGTTGCAAATTGAATCCTTTTCTCTTATTTGTTTTACCTCTACAAGCTAGTCTTATGCTTATCTTAGCTTCGTTCGATCGTTTTTGTTCAAGTTCCATATCAGTGAAACTTCGTTCATTGAGTAATATACGAGTAGCACGATGGTCAATTATATTGGGTTCACTTTTATGCGCACTATGCATGTCACCAATGATATTTATCTATGATTTTAATTCAACAGTACATTTATGTACACAATATTCTAATCTGTTAACTGAGTGATGTCATAATCCCATTACACCGGGTATTCTACTACAAACACGTCGCTTACAAATTTACCCCACTAGGGTATCGTGCCACCACTTCGTTACCCCAAAGAAGTATATGTGAAAAGCTGCGGAATATGAGTTGATTTGGAGTAACCAGCTCGTTACCCCAAAATGATCTATATGTGAAAAGCTGAGGAATATGAGTTGATTTGGAGTAACCAGCTCGTTACCCCAAATGAAGTATATGTGAAAAGCTGAGGAATATGCGTGGATTTGGTGCATTAACGTTTGGATAACTATATTGTCTCTTAGATTGATTCGCTTATTTCGCGAAACTGTCATGAATAACCATGTATGTTAGAGATTAGTTGTGAAAAGGATTGTTGCCATTGATCTTTCCGCAAGCTAAAGTGAGTATTGCGCTTCAGTTCAATGAATTTGGATTTTGTAGATGAAATAGGATTGATTGAAATCTGCCTTTCGTTAATCGTTTTGTCGAGATATTGCGGCCGATGCACTGCTTTTGAGCACCTTCAGATAGTTCGTTGCCTACAGGCCTGGCTTTTCGAGCACCCACATTTGTTGCTTTGCCCACTGGCCTGGTTTTCCCAGCACCCACACTTGTTGCTTTGCCCACTGGCCTGGCTTTCCCAGCACCCACACTTGTTGCTGTGGCTACTGATGTCGCTGTGGATTGTTGGGGTAACGAGCTGGTTACACCAAATCAACTCATATTCCTCAGCTTTT